GTGTACACTTTTTCAGATATAACGACCGATCCTCGGCAGACTTGTGGTTTCCGAACAATAATCGTGTAACGGTTGCTCAACAACTTACGCGGATGTGTGTAGTTTTATCTTGTTTTATCACTGACTGTAATCATATATAAATGTGAGTGTGTAACTAAAATCGTAGCTAAAATAAAATGATAAAATATTCCAGCTCATCTGGAAACTTTGTAAAATTTTTCAACCAACACACATTAATTTTTCGCATAAAATTACATTGACAAAACAAGAAATAAGTTAAAAATAAATTAAAATTAATTAATCGCAAAAAATTAACATGCGAAAACTTTCAGCATCATTTCTTCTCGCGTCCACGGTGGCAAGATTAACGCGTGCGAAAATATTTCAACATCGGCATAAATCTCTATTACAATGTGAAGCCACTTTATGAAACCATTATAATAAGCAGAGTTTTTGCGGTCGTTTCTGTTCGCCATGAACGTGGCGTCCGGCCAAAACTATCGAGTTCTCTCGATGCCCGGCAGGACGAAGTCGGTTGCCACAGAACCACGATCCGACAGCATTCGCGCAATCCAGCTAAAGTGGTCTGCTCCCTTTATTTCCGCTCCGATGCATTCCGAGCGCCGGTCGCGTTGTATAAGTCGAAATAATGTTTCCTCGCGTGCGCCGCGCCGACGATGTGACCCTTGCGATTCATCGATATTCTAGACAGTCAGCTTTCTTGAGATTCTCTTCAGCTAACGGTATATGTATGTACTGCAATCTCCGCGTTGCGATCCAGCGTTGCAGTGCTTTCTCACCAGAAAGCAACGCTCTCTCGATATTAGCTTGTTTCCGCTGCAATATTGCCTGTTGTTTGGATAGCCGATCAAATAGCGCGACATTAATTACCGTGTTCTCTTTGTCGCAAAATAGAAGAAAAATCTTCGACATTCATATTGATTTACTTGCACGAATTATACAGAAAAATATTGCACGTCAGTCTTAAATAAAAGGTTAAATGGCTGATTCTTGTGTTCAAACAGATCTACATGTTGCACAGGTATTGCTATAGGAATCGCAATGCCACGCATTTATTGTTAGCGTCAAATGTATCGTGAAAATGCCGGAACTCGGGGGAAGCGAGTTTTCCTCTCACGAAAGTTTCTCTGCCGAACATATGGAACCGGCATAAACCGAAACGATAACGGAAACGATTCGACACGCTCCGTTGCGGTACGAAGGTAAAACGAGGCGAAGCGGCGATATTAAAAAAAAATATCTGCTCCAAAGTTTCAGGGCGAGTCGAAACAAATTGAGTAACCGTTCTCGAATAACTCCATCTGGCAGAAAATTTTTCGAGAGCTCGAAACGTTTCCCATATATATATTTCTTTTGTGGCATAACCCAACCGTGAACGACCATTTTCCCAAGAATAATCTAGAGCGAATGAAAAATCGCCCATAACAACTGAAACCCGACAAACATTTTGACATGTTAATTGACACGAATTGATCTTACAATATGTTCTCCATATTCAATAGCACAAACGGCTCTTGTTAGCCCGTCAATTATACCGCAACGTGTGGACGAACGTGCGCGGGCGGATATGAGAATTAAACCGCCACCTAGAACATATCGCGGCGATAGAAAATGCTACGATGGCTGCGGGCCAGCGCGCGATCCCTCGTTCCCGGTACCGCGAAATTAATTCGCACCGGCGTTTTAACGTCGTTCGTAACTCGCGCGCGGCCTCGGGAGAGAGAGAAAGAGAGAGAGAGAGAGAGATGCTCTTTGTGTGTGCCCGAGGCTTGCAACGCAAAAATAACCGGCGTTATCCGCGCGTCCCGACCCTTGAGTCACATCGGTCGTACGAAATGGTACGACTTTCCAGGAGCAGTCTTAGTCATTCATCGAGAAGGAAGAGAGAGACAGACAGATAGACAGAGAGAAAAGAGAGAAAGAGAGAGATGCATTTTCCGACTTATGTATGTCGTATAGCGTTCGCGCGCCTCCCTCCGCCGCACCTGACCGCGTTCCACTCAATTCCGAAGAACCACGTCGACTGCAACAGCTGTTTCACACGACGAGCACGACGCATCCAAAGTAACCAGTGATACACAATGAAAGCAAAATCTGATCCGAGCGCGCGCAAGGAGCATCAGCTATGCTTTTATATACTTGACGCGGTTTTTCCCGTGCTTCTATTTCATTAATTAACTCTATCCGCGTGGAACTTTCACGCTGAGTTGCAAGGAAGTCGCGCATATTTTTAATTAAGAACGAACTACCGCCACTCCGGCGCCGCTGCACTTTACTTTGTCCGCGGTATTATCAACAAGGGCAGCGTATATCTCGTGGTACGAGGGATTTACTGGCAAATTCGTGACGCATTGCGGCTAATGCAATGTCGGAAAATAATACAATTTCATAAATAAGTCTAAAAGAAAGTGAAATCGTACATTATTAAAATTTTCAGTAAAATCAATTGGTCACGATCAAATATATCAGAAGTAAGTAAATTAATAATACACATCTCACATGCAACAAATTGATTTCAACCGGATCTCGCGGTTATGCCCAGTGTTTCTGAGATTTACGTAGATACGCGTTATCGGATGCTGTCGTGAAACTGAATCCAATATTATCGGAGATCGTACCTGTCCGGATAGTCTGAATCGTAATGAAGCTGCAGTCATCGTGATCCAACGAGATCGTCTGGCATAGCTGCACCTCCTCCCCCCCTCCTCCCCTCCTGTGCGCTCGTAATCGCGATACATTTCATCTCACTCCGCTTCGACATTTACATTAACAAGATATACCTACGACGGGATATCGATGGGGAAGAACGTATTTTTCTTTCTTTCTCTTTTCCGACAGGAAGCGTTCAAGGGTGACTACTCGTCGGTTGAAACCGAACCGCGAATTATGGCGGATCGACCAGGGCGATGCGATATGACAAAACAAGAAAGAATAAACCGGAGCCTCGTGTTACCCGTGGTGTAACCGGGAGACGGGATGCGAAAGTCGAACCGCACGCATTACTCGGCGCGACGAACGCGAACAGTGGCATGACTCATCGGTGTTCTAATGAACTCTTGAAACGATTTTCCGGTGCTTTGAAGGAACCAGCACAGGCCTGGGCGCCGCATTATGCGATGTCTACGTGTCTGTCTGAGTTTTTTTTTCGCATGGACCGAAGTCGAACGCGAAAATAAACCAGGATGCGCGGAAAAATAATTTTCTATGGAAAGTAAACATCGTGCGCGCGCGCGCATCCGAGTCTGGAAGAGATCCAAACGGGAAGAGAGTAATAATTCCGTCCGTTTCGGTAACTCACGGAAATTTTATTACGCGGAGATGAAAAATTGTGTTTAGAGCGAGAACAGATAAATGTCAAACGAATGGCGCCCACGATTTTTCACGGTTCTATTAGTCGTGACAATTTTCTCCCTCAACGAGGAGATAATTTTTAGAATAATGTAGTCCTTTTCTGTATCAAGTCTTTGATGATGTCAAAAAAAGTGAATGAATAATAGTCATAAATGAAGAAAAGTTGTCTATTAGTCGACGATTATCCCGTGCTCGCGCGTGGCGGCACGTACAAGATAATTCAATCGAATGTTTGCACCTCAACATCCGTCGTCGCATTCCTCTTTTTCTATAGCTCACAAAAGACGTTATAATGAATCAAGTTATCGCGCAGTTAAAAGATTACTTAACATGTCGCCGTATTTTCTGAGTATGTTTAACACGCGCCCTCTCTAAACAGCGCGTTGTGATATCTCAGCGACGAAAATATCTCCAGATAACGGATTTAGTTGTCGGGTGGATCAAAGTTTAGTTGCTGGGAGGAGCCGGATGCGCTCACGTGCATCACGGTAAACAAAGCTCTGGTCTGAAAATAGAACCGAATAAATAATTTCTAATAAGCGCGAGAAAGGATATCTCCCCCCGATTTCGGCGAACAAAAAATCGAAATAGCGCTGATGTTTATTCAATGTATTTATTTATGAATCGTCGAAAATTCATATCTCACGAGGATCGGATTTTTCGAAGTCAGATTTGCGAATGGCTACAATATTCGGATTATCGTTCGCGGACTGGCTGCTGAATATTTCCCCGTCCTGTATTTTTCAACGATTTTCAGCGGCGCACAGCTGTTTCGCAGCCGCACAAAGGTGGTTGAGAATGTACAGAATATCTCTTCTTAGCAAGCTTATCACAATCCACCTTTCTGGCATCGAGATACATAACATCGGGAGAAACTAAAAGAGATGTTAAGAAGTCCGAGTGCCACAGATGATAGCTCAGTGGAATATATCGACAAACTGGCGTTTAGAGATAAATCTATAAATAACCACCAGGAAGTCGAAGACCACGCAGAAATCAGTGGAAACATTTCGAATCAAATGAAAATGTTACATATATTTAATGAGGATAAATTAATATTTCGCAATTTATTTGAATATTAATCTAATCATCCTTGGAACTGTGAACAAAATTTCTCCTTTTAGTTACTTATGAGACTCAATCGACGAGAATCAATCTACTAAATTAATTAAAATTTCATTACAAAATGCTACTCTTGCAACGCATTAATTTCTAAAATACTTAACCAATTTGCAGATATCGCTGTAAATTTTAACATTTAAAACCATTTTCTTTGTTCCACGCTATGCTAGCTTAAAATACAAGATTGAAGTTTTTGATAGCGCAATAATCCTACACACTACCATAAATCATGCAAAGCCTTAAGAAAGGAAGCATATATGCGTTTTTACGCTTCCAGAAAACGATCTTAGTCAGTCGCCTTGTTATGATACGTATTACGCAACCGAGATGTAAATCTGGATAGAGAAGGCGAATGACGAGGCACACGGCCTTGGCAAAATATCGATGCCGTGCAGCGCTGCAATTTTCTTTAATTGCATTCTGCTAACGTGTAGCCCGTAAATCGCAAACAATATGAGGCTCGATAAGGCGTAATGTTTTATCTTTCGTTTCCTTTTTCATTCTAGAATGTGGAGCTGCTGCAAGGAACCATTCCGCCGGACGCAACGGAGCTCGAGGTCTCTTACTGCCGAGAACTGAGAATACAAACGGGCGCGTTCGACGGGGGCACGCCCCTGAAACGCGTACGCGTACACGAGATCAACAGCGTGATCGCCAAAAGCGAGGCCTTTCAGAATCTCAGCGCACCCAACTTGCATCTCGAGGTGACGAAGTGCGGTAGCGTGTTCCTGGAGAGCCACGCCTTCCGGAATACACGCGGTACGCTGAGCGTCTCGATAGAGCAATGCGAATCCGTGGAGATAAAACCAAACGCATTCTCGTGGCTGCTCTGGCTCCACGTGAAGAATGTAAGGTCCATGGAGCTCTCCAGCAACGCCTTCAAGTTCGATGCGCCTCAATCCGGGCGACATGGACCAGCGACCAAGGTCGGATTATCTCGCAAATTATCTCGCGTATCGCTATTACAAGCTGTTCAACAATGCTCGCGTATCTACATCCATTTTATCTTAAAAATTACAACTGATATTGATATTGATGTATCTACATGATATTCGGTATCCCAGTTACATTATGCTATTCATTTCGGATATCGGATAACACGTCAATATGAATAAATTATAATAATATTCGTAATGTTCCATTTTGAATGCCACTAAATAGGGCTCATTGTCAGAGCGATACGTATCAATTTGAATCGACATGAATTGTCGCTTAATTAAATCTAAAAGTCTGCTGATAATATTTTTAAAGCAGCTAAGGAAAATATAATAATATAACAAGTTTCGTACGAATTTTCTCTTATACAGATTATATTCCATAATGTGAGGATCGCGGAATTGCCTAAGGCGGTCTTTCCTTCGGCAGTCGCGGAAATTCGCATGGACGACATCTCAATGAGAGTCATACGCAAGGACGCCTTTTGTGCCATGACCATCTTCAGCGTGATTATTAGCAACGGGACTATCCAGGAGATTCAGTCCGGCGCTTTCAGCGACAGGGCGCTTATCCAAAGCCTCAAGTTTACCGATGTGCAAGTTAAAAATATCAACACGGGAGCCTTCAGAGCCGGACATGATAATCTCACGATCCAGTATTGCAGGTTGTCAACGTTAAAGTTATTTTGCTAATCCTTACTGCGAAATTCATTCTTGCTAGCAGAAATTTATAGAAAATGAAATAAAAAATCGTGAACATTTTTTTCTTGAAAAGCAGAATATTTTTCATATTCAATCGTATTTCTGAATTAATTTTTCAATATTGTTCAATTTTTATTACGTTAAATTCCTCAATTACTTAATATTTTTTAGCCGCTATTAACACACGTTTTAATCTTTTTTATTCTATTGTATCTCTATTTAGTTTGTCCGAGGTGGATACTGGTGCCATCAACACATCGGCCGCAACCGTCACTTTCAACAACAACAAATTCGAGCACCTGAAAAAGGGCGCGATTGTGCTGCATCAATGGAATCACATAGCGATCGACGAGAATGTCTTTGTCGATCTAGAGGACGACGCGATTAGAGCGGAGGTTAGTGCCACTTCGGCGCTCAACTTCGAATTTTCCTTTACGGGCAATAACATACAGAAGGCACGGCCGGGATCCCTAAAGTTCACGGCGATCTCGCAGAGCGTGAACTCTGCGCGAGTCGGCAAAAATATATTTAACGAGCAATGCAGTTGCAATCTCGAAAACTGGGTGCGCGAAGTGACGGGCCGCAACAGCTCGGTCACGTGGATGATGGACTCCAGCTACTGCAAAGCCGACAATTTTCTGAAAAAATGCTTGAGTCTGCCCGAGGACCACATGGCTATGCGGAACTACACGCAGCTTATATGCACGCCGGGGGATCATCACGTCCATTGCAAGAAGCCGTCGTCGAAGCCGGAGCCGAGCGTTAGTCCACCCAGCGTCGGTCCTCACATCTATCCAAGGCAGAAGGGATTCTTCGACATAGAGATGAGCGAGTCGGAGCAGCTGGAACGCGAGAAGAGGATCATCGTCATCGTTTGCGTCGTGGCGGTCGTCGTCATCGTCGTCGTGATCTTAGCCTCGGGAATTCTCTATATGCGCCGTCGCGGCGTGTGCCCCAAACTGACATCCGGTTCGCTGATAAATCTGTCAAACTGGCTGTCGTCCAGCAACGGCATGACCGCCGCGACGTCCGCCAGATCGATATCGAGGCTGAGCGTTCACGAGTACGCCGGTCTCCAAGCGGAGACCAGGATTCTCGAAATGGACACGCAGGCGGAAGGTACGGAGGACGACGACGAGGAAGGTGACATTTACTCCTACACGGAGAACAAGGCCACGCAGACGTTACCGGAGGAGCTGACGGAGGAGTATCTGAGGGATCTCCAAGAACGACTGAACGACCCTGACAATCACAGTCAGGCGAGGGACATGATCGAACATTTGTACGATCTCATCAAAGTGGAGGAGAGTTGCAACAATAACAACGACCGACAACCGGCCGGCGATCGAGAGGAGAATGCGTACGACGTGATCCAGCCGAGGACCAAAAGACCCCGCGGTGCACCGAGACCGTCCGTAAACATTGGTACCAGAGCACCGTCCTTGGATAAGCTGCTGCCAAACGGGATATGTACCAGACCGCTCATCACCGAGTACGCGCAACCGCGCGATCAGCGCACCACCGATCAGAATCATCTGTACGCGGAGTTGCCGGGTGACGAGACGGTGCCCAGCACGAGTCGGCTGTCGCAACCGATCCTCGAGAATCTGATCGGTAGAGCGCCGCAACCGTTACCGCCGGACGTGGTGAACGATCATCTTGTCGGCAATGATCGTCTTCCGCGTGACCTCGGTTACGGTGCCGACGACCGCGGACCACCGCAGAGCCCAAAGCTGGACTCGAGCTGCAGGAACCAATCCGCCAGACCGATGAACTTCCTCAAGACTTTCGGCGAGAGTATCTTGGGCGCGTCCGGCAAAACGAGTAACAATAAGAGGCCGAATTCGCTGCTGTGCGAATACGCCGAGCCGTCCGACGCGACCGCCCATCTCTACTCGGAGCTGTCGGAACTTCAGCAAACGTCCGCGTCCACTAGCAAAATGGCGAACAGGCCACTGCCCACCAAGCCCGACCAGGATTCCGTCGCCGCGAACGCGGCCAAGGCGTAGCGGCGTCCATTATCTGTGATATAAGTGTTATGTGTTTGTCGAGAACGAAGATTAAAGTGTGTCCTTTCTTTTTGTCGATTGTATGAGAAATAGTGTTCGCGCACACGCGTGTCTTTGCCGGAGTGATTGCGTAAGGGAGTTTCCGCCAGGCGCGAAACGAGTCGCCTGGGGTCTCTCGGCTGAGAAATTGTGTGCCTGCATCACAATAGCGGAGGAAATACGCGTCAGAAATTAGTGCAATTCATGCGTACAAGACTCGGGCTTGTCAGCCTCGAGAACGAGAAGTGTCCTTACTTTCAACACCGTACGTGCATGAATAAACCCTTGTTAGAACAATCGCGCGTTGCGTACCATTCGGATGGTATTTCCGTGGAAGGGAGGAAGCCAAATCGCGCCCGGATCGAGCCAAAGCAACGTTTACGCGAAAGTATTGCTGCAGAGTTGTGCCAAAATTAGTGCGTTGAATCGACTGTTTATTCGCGCTTGTAACATGACGATAGTTTCGATAAAACTACCACGCGACCGATTAGAATTGTTGATAAAATACCGCGCAAGAGAAATTGGCGGATTTATTTATGTTTATTTGTGACACACAAACACAAATGGATGTAACATAAATTTATATATATTTGCTTCAGGTATTATTAAATAAGTATTTTACATTTGACAACGGAGAAAAATTTATTAGTATCAACACCAGTTCCTGTTGAAATTCCCTATTTTAAAATATTGAAGTTATATATTTTCAACATTTTAAATACATGAACGAAAACACACGTACATTCAGAAACTGTTCTTTAATGTTTTACAATAATTTGTTATTTTAATTATTAAGAAATCATCCGTCGATACATTTCGATCTTTTTACGGCTTATTTTTTTTCCGAATACATCGCGTGCTCTCAAATTACATTTCCTGTATCAATTCATTATCGACTTGTACGATTCAGGTGATACAAAAGCAAAAATATTTCTCTTTGTTTCCGCAATCAACCAGTCTGAATGGGGCGATAAAATATCGCGTAGGTCCAACAATCGGATCTCCCTGCGGCTATTCTCGGACAAATCTCTCGCTTCAGATAACGCGCGTTGGTGTCCGAGGGAAGCGTATTCCAATTCACAAAGTACTTATTCGTAAGTTCACCGAGCGCATCGATTTCTCCTATCTAAATCTCTCATGTTTAAGGTATCCCATACCATCGTTGTCTTATCTCGGAGGAATTTTACGATTCAAGTAGTTTTCTCTGGACGCAGCCTCTCGCTTGTTCCCCGAGAACGCTTCCGAGTTCAGGGGTCGTCACGGTCGTACTCGTCTATCAAACGGCCCACAGTGGTGCTTCACTCGAGGGGGAGTGCACCCTGGGACTAATGCAGCCGCGGACCGTTCGCGCCGATTCGCCTCGGAACGTCCGACGAGAGCCGAAAGATATTCTTAATCCCTCTCGGGGCGCGCGCAGCCAGTCGGTGTATATCCACGGCGAGACCAAACTATTCCATGAAGAATGTAAGAGGAACAAATAGAGCCGACTCGCAGCAGGGACGGGCTGCGACGCAGCTGTTGACGTCTAAACGGCCGTCGTTCTATACGGACGGTAAAACCCGGAGAAAACTTCGTTCGGCGAGCGTACGGAGGCGAGCGTACAAAGACGTGTCCGGGCATGATGGAAAAAGTGTCCGCGCGAAAGGATCGCGGATGGAGTATGTCTCTCTTTACGGCGACAATTAATTTTCCTAATTTCGCGTCTCGTTTGATACTCGCATTCTTCCTCCGTTATTCTCCCGACGACTCTCGAGGTATAAATTTATAAAGAGTATTCGCACTCTTCCTAGTAATTCATAGTCGATTTTTCCCTCAGCGCGAATTTAATCTAAGATCTAATTATCGCGCTATTTAACGATGAAAATTAAAGCGCCCCGGTAAATTAAATGTCAGAAGCGTAAATGAATAATGGGACTTAGTTACTTTTCAATTAATTTAGAGCTAAATGTTGATGCGATTAAAATTCAATTTGCTAAAAAATTTACCGAGTAATTTAATGATAAAAATTAAACGTTAATATAAATCAAATAATCAAAAAATTATTTTTAACTCTGATTGGAAATTGATATTTTATTTACGTTCTTCCTACAAAACCTATTTTATCAAGAAACTTATTTATCAACATTTTTCTGAGAATATCTGAATCATGACCTGAGTTTGATAATTCCTCATTTTCATCTAGATAAAGAAGACTAAGTGGTCTTGTCAATATTTGTGCTGCGGTACGTCTTTGTACCTTCAGTTATCTCACATAGATAAAATAAGAAACCTACTGTCTCTCTCTTTCTCTCTCTCTCTCTCTCTCATGCTAAAAAAAATCGTGAGTTATTGCATTATGATTAAAACAAAAGATCACACAGGAAACTTTAATGTTTTAGCAAAGAAAATAATATTTAATGAACAAGCGAACACGTAATACGCGAATATTTGCTAATAATTAAAATATTATCTTATCTACGCAGAGACAGAGCGAAATTTTTTATGTTCACGTAATTTTTCTACCAAAGTCACGATTTTTCCCGAGTTTTATCACGCGGTACTTTGTCGACAGGTTAAAGAGCGATACGAAGACGTGTGCTATACGAAAGCAGCAGCCCGCCCGCTATCGTACACCGATTCGCGGGATTGTTTATGGCCGGCCATTTTTCAGATAAGAGTGTCATTTTTCTCGAGACGGGCTGCTCGTCGTGGAAAGTCAAGAGAGATGGCCGAACGAGTTTTCAACTAGATGCAATTTGTTGCTTTCTCTTCCTCCTTCGATATCCGCTCCCGACAGACAATGTGTCCTGGCTCGAATTTATGGATACTTATATATTATTTAATTTATGTCAGCGCGCATACGTCTATGAATAGCCGTATCTGTCCAGAAGAAAAAAATATGCAAATATATATCTATATTTAAAAATAGGTTTTTCTTCGAGAGGATACGCAGTGTTGCAAAATACGTGTTTGAATTTTACTCAAAGGTTATTACAACAATTCTCTTTTTTCGGTGCTAAAGCTGACACAGTGCGAAAAGTACACGAGGAATATTTGTTGTACTATAAAAGCATGTTTTAATAAAAACTAAAAAATAAAATAAAATACATTCTCTCGTATTATCTCAAGCGACGAAAATTGGGCCGCTGTCGAAATTATAGCGTTTCCAATTTCCGAGTCTCTCGAAATCAAATCTTCGAAATTTCTAACGATAGATCGTCCGGAACGGCCGCGAAGCAGAATATAGGTGTCCGAGGCGGAAGTGGATGAGATCAGGGAGGCTGTGATCCAGCGTGCTCTCTCGCACGGGAGAACATAATCCAAGCTAGACTGGCCAAGCAGCAGGCAGCTCTATCAGGTTTCATCAGCGAGCCAATCATCTCATCACTCGGATGGCCGTGCTAGCATCCGATTCGCCGTGCTCTAACCCGTTTCTCTGGTCCCTGACCTAATCCCTTGTGTCGGGAGATACCGGGAAAATCGATCGAGGATCGCCGACGAACATCTCGCCGGCGGCTGGCACGACTGGGTTATCGAAGTACCGAAATCATGGGCCGATCCGAGGCTTACCTTAAGCCGAAGCTTAGATCGTAAATGGATTTTCTATCTCATGACTCTCTCTCTCTCTCTCCTCCCCCCTCACTTCTCTCCCTCTCTAGTGTGTCCGCAGTCGGAGAAAATAGCTTACGGTATAACGTGTCAAACTATTGTAATTATCGTGAAACTCTCCGCAACACACATTAGAAGGAGTGATACCGGCCAGCATGTGCGACAGGAAAAGCAATTCGAACTCGTATTTGTCAGTCGCCACGTTAAATCTGTCACTGACGCAATCGTTAAATTTCATTCCAAGTGCACAGCCCAAAATTTGCCGGCGACAATTAACAGACAACGTTACGGCCGTGATTGTATAATTCAACGAAGAGAGAAAAAATTTTCATCTCGATTAAAACAGAAAAAAAAAATGGGTTAAACGACGTACATTAGCCAGCAATTTATACACGTCGCATAAATGTAAAACAGGCAATTTGTTTATTTACAAATCATTCGATACGATTACAATATATGTATACATTTTCGAATGCTCAGCTCAGGTGAAATAATATTTTCTCTCTTTTTGATCGATCGAAACAAAACGTGTTTCATCCGTGTTTCCATTTCCCAGTGACGATATACCGGGTGGCGTGTCCTTAATATACGCCATCTGCGTCTTACGATCCGGTGTGTCACCTGTCGCAACGATATTGCATCCGGAGATCTAATGGACCTTTAAACCGAACGTCTCTCTATATAAGCTAACGCGTGTCATCGACCTCTCTTCGAGAACGAGATATTCCCCGAACGAGTTACTCGCAGAAAACGAGATACTTCCTCTTAAGGGGGGAAAAAAAGAACTGAAAAATCCTGAGAAGAGCCTTGACAGTTGCGACTTTGCAGGGATTAATAGTAAATCTAAGAGACAACAGGAGAAAGATCTCGCTACGTGATTGTCTCCCTCGGTATTACATTTTCGTACTTGAAATCCGAAAAATACGAAAGAGACCGACGGTCTCGGTTCAAGGTAATGCTATTTCTTTTTTAGAAAATTCGGGTCACGGGAGAACCATCTGTAGCGATCTCTGGTGAATGGAAGTTCGACGACGCGACATACGGAGGGCCGCTTTCGGTTCTTTCGGCTATTCATGGAACGTCGGAGTAAATCCTTAAATATTTTAAGGATTTACTGGAAAACCATAGACGCGTACTTATTATTCTAAGAAGCTTTTTCGAGGAGAACGTTACCGCGCGACCTCGGATACCACGATCGTATAAGATGCACCGTTGAAGTCGCGGTGCGTTTGCCAGTCACGTGTTGAATCTCGGGGTTTCTCGTGCGCGCAGCACACGAGAAAAACGAAAACGGGGAGATACAAGAAACAGGATGTCGCGGCAGACGCCGCGGATGCACACACAGCGGACGCATAAGAGCGCGCGCGGAAACCGCCGCCGTGATAATTATAAATATGAACCAGAAAGTGCATTCCGTTCGGGGCGCTTCGTGCTCCAGAAATAATGCGATTCACCGGGCGCGCGTAAATCCGCGTCGAGACATCTTAAGAAACGAATGCTCCGCGGATGTAACAATATTGCGCCCGCGGCTACCGAGACAGTGATGTATACAAGTAAACGCGAAAGACATTTTTTCGTCCACGGAATTAAGATTGATTCGAAGCTCGAAACTCTTTTGGATTCAAATTAAAACTTTATATATAACCAATTTAAAGTGAAGCGTGACAAAGTGGATTTATAAATTATTGTTAATTGTGTAAACAAGCGCTTTTTTCTAGCTGAAATCTTACAGGGAAGTGGCAGTGTCGATCTATCAAGAATGTGAGGTCAAACTTTATCGATACTGATTTTCCTTTAATAAGGCTAATGCGCGAAGATGCTTCAGCTTAAAGCACTCCTTTATTGCAATTCGCCCAAGTGGTTGCGCTTTGCAGACGACATATCGGACGAGCGATTCGTAGTCTCGCGTTCTCTTCCCCATTGAAATCTAAATATACCCCATGATATTAATAGCGTATGGTGCGGCGGTGGCAGAAGAACCGTTTCATACGCCCATGATGCGGTATCCTCCGATGCAGAAAAGAGCGCATTCCTCCGTGGCGAACTGGTCGACAATGCGATCCTGTGAATTCTGCAAATGCAAAAGCGCAATGTATGCGTCAAGCACAACCTGCACGATTGCTCGAACCATATTTACCGTGGAAATCGTGATAACCGTAGAACGTTCCCAAAAAAAGGAAAGTATGCATAATAGAAAGAGACTTCGAGAAATCGATTTAAAAATTTGAAAGAATAT